GAAGAAATGGAAGCCTCGTTCACCTGGTGGCGTGAAAGTATACACAACTCGACCTGGAATAACTATTAGGATATTCCCCGCAACACCAAAAGAACCTCGCAGAGAGGCGTCCTTTAATAATGAGATAGTGACAGCGCCAAGTAGCCTAGTTCCTCCTAAGGCCTCGCCGAGGTTTCGAGGTCTAAGTTCTTGGATAAAATGGTGAAAGGAATGGCCTGGTTATGGCAAGTGTAGTGAAAAGCGAGGAAAAGCGAGCGTGTTGTAAATCGGCAAAGGGAGGTCAGACCGTCTGGAAAAGGCGACTCTGTAAGCATAAAGGAACAGATGAATCAATGCCATACAAGTATAATGCAATAAAGAACTAGCGGCTTTTGCCAAACTAAGAAACGAGTCGCTGATAACAGACGTAACTGTTTGTTGTTAATTAAAAGAATTAATCAATATATTTACTATGCTTCTAAAGCAAAACAAAAATTTCAGAGGTAAATGTCTCTGAAAACAAACCAAACAAAAACAACAGTTAGAGTTATCGAATTTGGACTGAAAAGCGTTTCTGGCCAGCACCTTTTATTGCTAATGGTTTAACAGCGTGGCAAACAAAACCGAAAAGGGTGTTTTTGATAGTGTTTTAAATAATTATTTTTCAAAAGCGTAAAAGATATGTTAATGTTGACTCAGATTGTCAAGAACTTACAGAGCACACAAACAAATCCTGACTACACTGCATATCAACGATGTATTTAGTTTAGACTTATTTAATGAGAAACCTCAACCTTGTCAATGGTCTAACGCAAAGCGCCGCTGATCAATCATCAATTGCTAACAGGTGTTGTCTCGGTCAAGACAAACGCATTTCTAATGTATTTTAAACCTGGTTCTTTACAGGGGTCTGAAGGGGTAACTGAGATGAGAACTGGGATTTGCTTATTTATCTTCTCTGGAAAAAAGTGGGATTTTGGTCATAGGGACTGGGAATCACAAACAAAAATTGGGAATGGGACTGAGAATTGGGCAAAATATGGGCTTGGAAATGGGATTTGGGCAACATTTGGGCTGGGATTCTGGACCAACTGTTAGTCTCAATTGTACTGGTTCAGTGGAAAATCGAACCTCTACATAACAAAGTCCCTGGTATAACGAACGATAGTCTTCGCCCTAGTAATAGTGAAATATACAGAAAAGAACCTCGATTCAACGAAACCTCGTTATCAGGAACATATTTTGCCAGTCCCCTGGCCCTTCGTCATATCGAAGTTTTAGTGTAGTCTAGTCTTTTTTCTTCAACAACGGGCATGTGATTAGAATTCGTCCCTTGACATCTGAATTTGAACATTCTATTTTTCTTCTGCGCATTGAGATAAAAATTAGATACGACCCGGTTTAAAAAAGATACCTATTAAATTTACCAGAGACCCGTACACGAAAATCGTCTACAATCCTAGTTTTCAACAACCATCGGTTGTTCGGATTTGTGTGGTTAGAAAGCCACGTTTCCTAAGCTACGACAATAATAATAATAATAATAATAATAATAATAATAATAGATAATAGAACGGTTTTCATTTGAGGTTGAAAAGTAATTGGTTTTTCAACAACTACGCAACTACATTTGTCTTTAAAAAATTCCACGACTTTCTTATCCAATGGTAATAGGACCGAGTGGAGGCCAATTCGGTCTGTAAGCATACTAGTGATTAACAAAATCGGACGACCTCTAAGCGGGAGTCCGATTTGTTAATCACGAGTATGATTACGGACTAAATTGGACGACACGATGTCCTGTTACCAATTAATCATAACCATTACAATTTCCCATAAAAGTAAAAGTTTCATTTGAAAAAGAGCTTTTGAGGTATTTTAATATCATAATTAAAAGTATGGAGAATAGCTTGCAAAATGGCTGTTAAGTTTCTTTCAAAGCAGCCTCCACAATTTTACAGAGTCAGGCTCCTGAATTGGTCAATCAGTGATTGTAATCAATGTCGTGATTGGTGGATTTAGTGGAGAGGACTTAAAATGATTGGCTCATGTAACTGTCCGATTACAGGTGTCCGATTACAGGTGTCCGATTACAGCCAACTGTCCGATTACACTGTCCTATCCGGCACAAATTTGCAGATTAATTAGAGCAAAATATAGCAGTCTATGCACCAATCACATTTAAGGAAATTGTAATTGTAATTATTAGAAGTGAAATCAAAACCAATCGTGACTCGTTCTCCCACGTTTTCCCGCGCCATGCATCAGGTACATGTAATTACTGCGAGTTTTGATTGGTTCATTGGATTGTCTTTATTCTTTGTATTTGGTTAGTGATTACTTTGGTTTTGATTTTGCGACACTCAAGTGAAAATCGTCCTATTGGTAATTTTAACATTGACAAAGCAATGGATTAAAGTAATTAGAATGATAATTTATTACACTTAATTTTGTATCAACCATTCCTGTATTAAAAAAGAAAACCATCAAGATACATGGATAAGAGAGAAAAGCGGCGAAGCTGAGTCTTGTTTAAGTCCCTTTAAGAGGGAGTGGAGTTTAGACGGAGGGCCGTGTGTCACGTCAGTAACAAGAACGGGCCGAGTTTTTTTTTTCCGTTCATCGGATCAGACCTTACATGCAATTCTCAGCAAACAGCGGAACTCCGAGCCGACCCCTCCTGACCCGCCGTTAGAAACGTACTGGAACAAAGGAGAGTGGCAAAGATGCAGGATAACCCGATTCAACTGACAGACGTCGAGGCTATGGAAGCAGACATGGTATGCAAATAATACTCTCGACCACACATCTTGAAATCAAGCAAGTGATAACAGGACAAGTGATTTCTCGCTTATGGTAACCTTAATGTCTTAAAAAATTATCTGCTGAAACAAGAGGGTCAACAAAAAGATTTTTGTCTTGTCGGGAATCAGGATTAGAGAAAATATAAATCCAGATAAGAAATCTTTCTTAGTACTCACGTGATGTCATTTCGCTGTAGTATAGGAAGGAAGATCTACTTTTTGGTATTTGTTGTGTTTCATACAGCCGATCGATACGCCATGAAGCAACACACACAAAAAAGCTTGTTGCATTTGCTTGTCAAATCATCCACACCAAACATAAAGGTATTTGTTTTCCAGTGATCTCTGTTAGCAGATTAGAGGGGCGGTAGGTTATGGTCAACAAAGTAATGGTACTTTAGTTTTGACGTAAAAGAAAAGCTTTTAAGCCTATTATATTAAATTCCAAACCCAGAGCACATAGAACTGCAGTAAGCAAATTCGGAGAAAAATTCAATAAAAATGGAAGTTATGTAAAG